ATCACAGTGTACATTAAAAGCTGTAAGATGTCCTGTATTAAATAAATCATTTTTCTTTAGCCCAGAATTTCCAATAAAACCACCTCTCTGCCACCCAAAAAATAAGCACACATACTTGTTCTTTCAGAAGCATTTACATCTTTCTGACCTAGTGTTTGAAGGAATAGACTCTGAAAATGTATGAGAAATGTGTGTGCTTTGTAATACAAAGCATTAAACAAGTATAAAATCTTAGTACCATGGTCGATTTATGCTGATGGAAATGAGGAAAGTCATGGAAAGTAGAAGCCATGAATGAAGTAGCCGCTCCTGAGAGTCTGATTCGGTGTACATCCACCAAGACATTCATCTTGTGTAGCTGAACACCTAAATTTCTGGCGTGATACAGACCACAGATGGGGGATATATTTGGGTTTATAAAAAATATACAAAATGAATGAATGAATGGGAAAAAGTAGAACCAATATTATATTCCATCCGTGTAGAATAAATTTTATTTGGGTGGGGGGACAACAAACTGCTCCCATACTACACTCAAAGAGTGGTAAAGCTGTACCAGAATGGGCCTCCCATCACAATCACGTGTTCACAGAGTTCTCTGCCAGCCCCTTCCAAGCTGACAATGCCTCCTTACAGGGACTTTCTGATGTTCTCCTGTCTGTCCATCTCCAAATCAGAAACTGTTCTGGGGCTATTGCCTCTGCAGGAGACTTAGCTCCTAGGCAGCTGGGTGTATGCATTTGTTGGAGTGAGGGAGGAGGGAAGGTTGTCTCAAAGGAAATTCTGGATTAAAAAATAAATAAATAAAAAGGTTGTTTTAATAAGGAGCTTCTCAGAGCCTTTAATGTGCTAATGTGCACTGTGGTTTTCTAAGAACTGGCTGAGGAGCACAGGACATACTGTACAGAATCTTCTAAGCTATATATTTTTCCATAAAGCTCTTTGTCCATGAAGCATTTGTTGGGAGTTGGGGGAGCTGCATTGGCTTCTTTAACTTTCCTTAGTGTGCTTAGCCATAGCTACCTCTAAGGGTTATTTTAAGGAATGAATGAGACAACGGGAATGATATTGCCCAGCACAGTCATACCTAGCGCAGTATCAACAAATAGTGTTCCTTAATAACTTGCAGGTATTGGGGAGGCATTATTATCCTCATTTTGTGAGTGGGGAAACTAAGGTTCATAAGGGTTCAGTGACATGACTTTCTTCAGTAAACAGCCAGGCCTAGGGCTTCTGCCTCCAAATCCTAAAAGCATTCTCCTTGCCACTCCTTGCGGCCCCGAGCAGTTTTCACTTTGTAACTATATCGTTACCTTTCAGGATGTCACGTCCACCCAGAAATTGACTTTCCGTGAAGCACTCTGAGTAAAGCCAGTGGGAGCCTCGCGTCTGTGGATTCTATTCTTTTGAAGGCTTGTGATCAGCAGACATATGCTGTCCAAAGCTTCCCACACATGCCACTTCTGAGCTGGCCTATCACTGGGGGCCTGTGCAGTGTGGTCTATTTGAGGCCAATAATCATATCACCATTGTAATGAGTGGCAAATCCTATGTAATTTACACATTAAAAGGAGGCTGAGATGCATGGAAAAACCCAGCCCCCATTTGTCTAATGAAATTAAAGCTCTTAGCCAAATACTGGTACTGAAAAGAGATGTTTGGGAAGGGCTCTCCCGCCCCTGCCTCTGAAGAAGAGGGTGAGTGTTCTTTATTCATGATCCTGCCTCTACCTAAATCACTTCCACAATGAGACCTCTAAACCAAGGGGCCCTGTCTGGGAGCATGATTTACGCATAGCTGAGGCTGGGCGAGGCTTACAAAGGCATTATGACTAGTTATTTTCAATGACAATTGAAGGAAAAAATAAAGCAGCAAAGATATTCTGTGGTTTGGATGGCAAAGCACTAAACTGCCCTCTGCCTCCACCACCAACTGACATAAAAGAAGGTTTTGATCCACACCTGATAAAGCAATTATTTTAAGATATTTTCATATTCAGTGGTAACTGGACAGTATCATGAAACAAGTATAAATGATATGGCCCTTGGAGCAACTGGGTTGAGCATAAGCTCTGGAATGAACCATTGGTCCCATGATAAGGTAAGAGGTGACGGGTTCTTGCCTTCAATGACTGCCCGAATACTTATGCGTTCCTCCTTGGCTTTGAAACTGTCTGAAGTCATGTTGAGTGAGATAAACCAAAACACGCCAAATATAATTGGATTTAAGTGCAAAAATCAAGAATCTACCATGATAAAACTAGTTAGCATATAGGATGCTCTTGTTTCATCCATGAGTGACTAAGAATATGAGTGGTGGCATTGAGGCAATAATCTGTGTATAGGAATAGCTAGAGCATATAGAAAAATAACTAATAGCCTTTATCCCTGGCTTAAACAACTCCTCAAAGGCAAACACATTTGAAAAATATAATGCAGTGTGCACACACATACTCACACCCACACCCCTGAACCAGAAAAAGAAGAGTGTCTTGAGAAGTATATGTCCATTTTCCTTACACTGTGTAAAACTTTGCACAATCCAGACACTGTCTGATTTCAGCCTCATTTCCTACCAGTCTCCCTCACTCACGCCTTATTCTCTGGCCGCATCTTTCTTTTTCTTCCTCAGTCACATGGAATTCATTTTTCTGTTTTGAGGCATTCTCTGCTTGTAATATTCCTCCCCAATATTCTCACACAACTAGCTCTTTCCCATCTAACAAGATTCTTGTGGGTTCTAAGCACATCAGATCAAACATATTAAAATATACTCACGTTGCATATTGAGTAGAATTTATATAAAATGATAACAGTTGAGTTGCAGTTGATTAGTTACAATTGACATTTTGTATGCATTTAAATAAATATTGTTGGTTTCAATTTTGCTGTATTCTTTTCATAAATTAATGCCAGTAATATTTTTCCAGGCCTGAAACACTTTCCCAGGCACTGAAAAACTCTTAGTCACAGGCATTATGCTTATAATTCTTAGTAGATAAAATAGTCCTGCTTTCATCATTCCAGTTCTGGTCAAATGTCATCAGTTGCTCAGAAAAGGTATTTTCTAATTATCTGTTACCAAAAAAAAAAAGAAAACAAAAACAAAAACACTCATTCCATACTCAATCACTCTTTACCATCACTTTATCTGTTTCCTGATATTTATAGAATGCCTACTATATGCCAGCTCATTCATTCATTCAACTGATTTATTGAATATCTACTATGCTAGGTCATTCATTTATTCAACTGATATCTATTGACTTCTGTACGCCAGGCACTCTTCTAGGCAATGGGGATGTGATAGTGAAAAAAACAGTTGTGTCTCTGATCTCACTAAGTTTACCTTCTAGCAGCAGGAAACTCATAGTAAACATTCAATACAGGATAGCTTCAGATTATGAAAAGTATTTTTAAAAAAATAATGGTAGGCAATAACAGCATGCAGTGAGTGGTTATTTTGGACAGAGTCCAAGCTTAGTAACAAAAGCTTTTAAGTATAAATTAGATGCCTTGATGCAGATCATGGGACAGAAGAATTTGGAATTCACCCATGAAGCTCTGGATGAGAGAAGTGTGTGAGTATCACCAGCCCTGAGGAAGAGAAACAGGAGACCCATATGAGAGCCCATCGTGGCAACTCATATTTTTACATGCAACTTACATGCAACTCTCATTATAGAGCATGAGCTTTAATCACTTTCAAGAAATCATTTCATCTTTCTAAAATCTTTAGTTAAACAACATCTCCTGGTGTTATGATAGACAGACAGATACCTGGGCCAAATGAATCTTATGAAATTGTGAGTTATAATTCTTGAATCCAGAATAGTTCAACTCAGCCATTGCATAACTCTGACTTAATTAATGTGTGTGTGATACGTTAGTTATCTTCACTGATTTTCTCAGGAACTTCATTATGTAAGTAAGAAATACATTATCCCTGTTTTGTGATGAAGAAATGGATACTCACAGAGGTCACCTACCTATTTTAGATAGGATTGGTTAGACTCATCGTACAGTAGCAAGCAACTCCTAAAGAAAGAAACAACTTTTGTTTCTCTATCACACAAAGTCCACCACAGGTTAGGTACCTTCTAAGACAGTTATTTTCCTTGCAATGTGTGTGATGGTTAATTTTGTGTCAGCTTGACTGGATTAAGTCAACTTGACTCTGATAGCTGGTAGAAATTATTTCTAAGCATGTCTATGAGGGTGTTTCTGGAAGAGATTAGCATTTCAATCAGCAGACCCAATAAAGAAAAGAAGAACCAAACACACACACTCTCTCTCTCTCTCTCTCTCTCTCTCTCTCTCTTGAGCTGGGACATCCATCTTCTCTTGCCCTCAGACATGGGAGCTCCTGTCTCTCAGCTTTTGGACTCCAGACTTACACCAGCAGCCCCAACTTGGTTCTCAAGACTTCAGTTGTGGACTGGGACTTACACTGTCACCTCCCCTGGTTCTAAGGTCTTCAGTTGGAATTACACTACTGGCTTTCCTGGTTCTCCAGCTTGCAGACAACAGATCATAAAACTTCTTGGTTTCTATAACTATATGAACCAATTCCCATGTTAAATCGCTTCTTTTATGTCATCTTTTATATCCTCTTGGTTGTGTTTCTCTGAAGAACCCTGACTAATACACAGGGACTCAGCAATCCAGGCTGTTTTTATCTTATGACTCTACCACCCCAACATGAGGCCTTGTTATGGGCAAGAAAGGACTGAACTAGTACATAGGAAGTTTCACTAGCTTAGCCCAGAAGTGACGCACATAATTTCTACACACCATTCATTGCCCAGGACTACTCATACAGTCCATTTACATGCAAGGGATTTGGGAAGTATAGCTGTCCATGTTCCCAAGAAGAAAAGATCTGAAATGAAATTTGCCTCTGCCACAGTGCCCAAGATCAAATAACAAATAAAATTTAAAAACTAAGATTTGCTTCAACCTGATGCCAACTCCAGTAATTTTTTTTTTAATTTTTAATAGAGTCAGGGTCTCTTTATGTTGCCCAGACTAGTCTTCAACTCCTTGCCTCAAGTGAATCCTCCTGACCTGGCCTCTGTAAGTGCTGAAATTACGGGCTTGAGCTGCCATGCCTGACCAAGCTCAGTACTCTTTTCATGATTCTATCTAAGCTAGAAGGTAAGGATTAATTTTTTTTGTTATTTCTAGGGCCCAGGCCAGAATATCACTGACATATGGAAGATGCTCAAACAGGGAGAGAGGGAGAGAGAAGGAAGGAAGGAAAGAAGGAAGGAAGGTGCGGCAGGCAAGGAGGATAGGATGGCAGCGAAAGGTCCGGCTAAGGAAATGGATCACGAAGGCGAACGGATCAGAAGGTGTAGAGGGGAAGAGGTCGCGAGGATGGAGGAGGGAGCGATGGGAGGAGGGAGGGAGGAGGGAGGAAGTTGTTACTTCTTATCTTCAGGATTGAACTGATTCTTTAAGCCACAGGTAAAGGATAGGATATGATAAAGTTCATATTAGTGTCCATCCACACAGTGTTTTTTGGGGCAGCTTAATTAAGAAATGCAAAAGGTAAGACTTGGTAAAGGCGACCAGTGAAGTCATCTTCTAGTCTTTAACCCCATATGTACTACAAATAGCTTCATCGATGAAAGAGGAGAGGAGATTCAGAGAAGATTACATAGTTCTCATGAGGAGGAAATAGAGACAAAAAGGAATCCATTTGGAACTAGATTGGTGTGTATAATTTGCCATGAGTTCTTTGGCAGAGGTGATATGCAAAGTAAATGCTACAGCAAAATTATTGAATAATAAGAGTACTGTATTTATTTCTCTCTACACAATTTACAGTAGAATCAAAGGAGTATGCTTTACACAGCCCTTACAGGAAAAGTAAGACAGGGACAAGTAGAAATAAATTAAGTATCTGCCATTGATTGTCATGGATAACACTAGCTTATTGAGCTAAAACTTTATTAGTGTGCTATAGTTGGGATGATGATGGTCTTTTTATTGTTTTTGTGGTAACTCTTTATTTTAAGTATCTTATCATTATGAATTCATTTAGTATTGATTGCAATAGCACTGATCATAAAGAATTAATTTGGCATTACCATAGATGTCATATGCACTTATACAAGACTTCGACTGTAATTCAAAATTAATTAATATGGTAAAGTGTTATTGCTTTTGCAATTCTGCAATTCTTATAATGTATCTAAGGTATTTTTTTTTCTAGCAGGTGGATCCTAGCAGAAAATCTATGAAGGCATTCTCCTCTGGAGGGGAATTTCATTTAGTGATAAATGGGAAATTTCATCTTGTTTAAAAAAAATTATTTTCATGTCAAGATATTTGGGATTCCAGTCCCAGGATTCAGGGTTATGGAAAAACAAAAGCCTTGAGTCCTGGAAAATGATCTTGTGTATTGGGTGTTCCCACTTGCTTGGCACAGCTGGGATGAGCTGCATAATTGAGAGTTCATCTTCCTCGACATCTTCTGTCTCTCACCAAGAATGATTTGTCCCTGTCAGAGCAAAAGGCCTCCAGCAAAGGAATTCCATTTACTTATAATGACGTGGAATTACCAGAAGGTACAATTCAGGACACACTTCCAGCAAGTTGAGATTGTTCAACATAGGCATGAGTGGGAATCCAGCAAGAAGAATCAGGGTCTAAATCAAATGGCACGTGTCTGGAATGCCCATCTCTCGTCTTTAGTTAAAATCCACTCTGCCATCCCCTGCTGCTGCTGCCTTTCTGCCCTACATGGGGGCATGCATAGACATATTGGGATATCATGCTGTAGATAGCTGATCCTACACATATCTGGATTAGGGTATTTCTCAAGGGATGCTACAAAAAAACACCAGGTCTAAATGTCCTCCCTTGATCCTCAGTATAGAGAAAATCTTTGCAGCTTCTCACTATTCCTATTATAAGATGCAAATGTTATGTAGTTGCAATAGAATAATTCATTAATTCACCAGGGATTCATTGTTAGGCAATCCGACACATAAAATTGCTCTGACTGAATAAAATACTGGAGCTTTAATGGAGAGGTGGGTTCTAAGGGACAATCTGGAACATGGGATTGCCCAATGCCAGTATGGGAGGTTCCAGAATCCCAGGGACCATGGTGGTGACTGAGAGGAGGCAGAAGGGCACATATAACTGAAATGGAATCTGGAAAAAACAACAACTGACCACGGACAGTGGAAGATCAGCCAAAGAAGCAGGCCAGAGACCAGCTAAGGTGGTTTAGCCCAGGTGGGGTCAACAAATAGTACCTGGGAGATAGGAAATTCACAGGACCCTGACAATAACTGACAGCTACCTGTTCTTAGTGGAGATTCTTACCAAAAATGAAATTAGAATACAAAGTAGAAGGTTGGCAGCAAAAATTGATAGGCCTTTGCCTTCTAATAACTTAGCTAGTATCTAGGCAGGCAGGAAGGCCCCTGGTCAGAGCCCAGAGCCAGGCCAGCAGATATGGGCAAGGCAAGATGGTCAGAAACTCATAGTTGAGCTATTTGTGACATCCCCAAACTAATGGGCCCTGTCATGAAGTTAGTTTGGGATGTCAGATATAAAGAGACCAGTTCCAGAGTGGTCAGGGATTTCTAGGCTATTAGAAAGAAATTTTTCTTAGGATACCTAAATCTGCTTTATTAAAAGCACCTTTAGAAATATTAAAAGTCAGTTTCCTCATGTCAAATATGTATCACTTGTAGTTTTAAAGGTATCCCTCTGGGAAACCCAGGCTCAGAGTCAAAGACAGTTTCAGACAGCTCCTCCAAGCTATCATCCCTCTGTCCTAACTGCCACTGTGCTTTCTCCTGGGGAAGTCATAAAAATAGAGAGAAGCCACAGCATTCACTGGCCAAACCCTTTTTTACGGTTGTGTGGAAATGCTATTATCACCCTTGTCTTAAGTAGTAAATACCAGAAGTTTTTTAGTTGGTATAAACAACAAAGATTATTCTACTGTTTCTGTCTGATACCAAAAAGGTATCTAAAAGTCTATTCTTATCTTTCTAATTACTGACATTTTCTTTGTGACAGTTAATAACACGCTGGAAATCAGATCCCACAGCTGCAGAACAGAAAAATCTAAAGTCCAGAATTCGCCTGTCCCTCCAATTGGTTAAAGACTTCAGGAAAACGGAAGACTGAAGCTCGCTGAAGTAATTTGGTTCTTAATACCTGAAATTAGCATGTCCCTTGATTATAGGTGTTTCAGGGTATCTTCAGTGTCAGCGACACTCCACTTGCTGACAAACACAAGTTCAGCAGCTCGCAGCGCCTGTGGGAGAATATGCATTCACCCTTTAAAATGAGCAGAGGATGTCATGGAGGTAAGAGGGTATTCTTTATTTGTGCTATGGGAAGCAATAATGGAGATTTACAGTTCTCCAATATAGCATAGGATTTCCCAGAATGCTGACTAACGGAACCACTTGGAGGTTTATTGATGTCGTGCCATATTGAAAACACAGGTTTATTAATAAATAGCTTCATGAGAGCGGAAGAAGCAAAAGCAGGTAGCAAATGACTAGCTGGCCTGCAAAACAGGAAGACCATGTGAAAAAGCATGTGGCTTGAGGCCTGGGATCAGGAGATTAACTGTAGGGATCACCTAAGAAACTTAAGCATTCAGGGAAAACATTCAAGTGGAATCTATGCGAACAGAGCCTTTTCCTTCTGTTTGCAGGTTTTAATAGCCACAAATGTCTCTCAGCATTTCCCTCCCTTAGGAAGACAATATCAGAGTGCTGGCACCGATTTCTCAAAATTATACTGGCAAAAGATAAACAAAGCTTAAGATATAGAAATATATTTTACACCAAAAAAAAGGAAAAAAGAAAAACACACTGAAACCAAATCCTCATATTTCTTGGCTCACAGTAGCAGGCTGACTAGTTACCCAAAATGAGCTTACTGCAAAATCACTCTGTTCTCACCACAGGCACAATTTACCAACTGGGTGCAGCAGACACCGGGCTGGCTCCTGAACTTCTCTCCTCCAATTAAGCTGCACAACCTGTTACCATTTTGCCAATGGATTCTATTTACTTAGGTTCTGCATAACTTGCCAAGTGCTCACTCTGTGGAATTCCCAGCAAAGAGAAAGGAACAATTGGGGGAAATTTTTGTTAACATCCTTTCTTTTAACTTTCCATAGCAGAGGGGAATGCATCAACATGGAGCAGATGCGCTGAGACCAAATGCTCTCTTCCTCATGATTACAGTTGGTTATACCTGTGGATAGGCAAGCTAATTCCGCTGCAAATGTGCAAGAGAGGGTAGTACTAACGTACAATGTGTGGTCCTGGAGGCTTTGTTCCCACGTAATACGGTGCTTCATTTCACAAGACCTGGCACACAGAGAAGAACACTGAAGCAGACAGCCTCGTGCAGTTGAAACTGTGGTCTCTCTCTGTATGGCTTAGAGAATGCCCTGGTTCTCAGCATTGTTGACACAAATATTGTGGAATGTCTTTGTTGGAGTTGGAAAGTAATGATTCTTTCTGCTTAATGTGTTCAGTGACTCCTTACCCTATTGTTTTCTGCCACTTGAAAATGCCCGAGGATGTCATTATAACTACATGTATCAATATTAAACCTTTACAAACGGTTGACTAAATGAGCATTATTATCTTTGTTTCTGAAAATAGTGTACCTTTTTACTTCATTTATCAGTAACTAGGTGTAGTCGATTGCACTCTGGTATTGATCCCAATATCTATACCCATCACAGACTACCTTTCCTCAAGGTCATTGTGAGGTCAGGTTATGATCAATATGAATTGACTCTCTGCAAATAAATTTATATAGCTGACATAATTGCAAGTAATACCTTTTTCAAATTAAGGTGGACCATTTTATGAAGCATATGTGTTTGAAACATTAGCTGCAACATCATCCAACTCTGCATAATGAACCAATCTCACTAGAATTTACAAGTCCTCTTTGTGTAACTGAAAGCTGTGTAAGCTCCCCGATAACCATTTCTAAATAACACCTGCAGAGTTTCAAGCTTCGGGTTTAGCGTAGATGCTAATTATGTTTTCCAAGCAATGGCATTTTCCTATGTAGCCCTTACATGCAATTTTATTTCCAGTTTTCAAATCTCATTTCTATCAATGCTATTTCAAAGTTCAGGGTGGAATGTTTAGTCAACCTAATCAGAGGGCCACATTTGGTAAAACCAACTTTCTTGAGTAGAAACAACATTATCAACTGCAGAGTGGTTGCCAGTGCCA